CGTCCAGATCTTCTGCACAGCCCTTAAGATCTGGCTATCCCGTCAGGCCTGGGGATAAAAATTCTAATCCACCCCACCCGAATGTTGAATGAAAGTTGCGTTTTATTGTTTTAATTTTTTTTTAAATTTTTTTTTTACTCACGTATTGTCTTATGTTTTGTCTTGCACTCCCCCTCCCGTGAATTGTAAGCCGCCCTGAGTCCCCTCAGGGAAAAGGGCGGCCTATAAATAATAAATAAAATCTAAAAAAAAAAAAATCTAAAAAATCCTCCAAATTAAACAAAGTAGTTTGTCTCTAACTTACCTAGTTAGAGACTGCTTCTATTTGGGCTTTTACAGAATTTTTAAGATGCTGGTTTAATTATTAAAGGTCTAAGTAGCAATCTATATGTTGTAATTGGAAGTCATCTGGCTAGTATGATCAACTTACAGGAGGTACTTTTAAACATACTGTCACTTCCCAAACCTGTTTATTAGATACATTAGAGAGTAAAATTTAGTTTGCTCCCAAGTTGTGGAATTGTTCAAGAATGGTTTTTCTCCCTACTTTCTGATAGTAAAAACTGGTCAACAGTAGTAGATTCTACCCATCAGGGGTGTTTAAATGGATTCTCTATGACCATCTTCTGGTAATTTTAATAGTGGGCTCCTGCACTAGGCAGAGAGTTGAACTTACTGATCTCAAATATTCCTTCTAATTATTATATTTTGTAATAATCTGCTTTTCAGAAAGGAGCTAAGTTTTTCTTTTTTTTAAGCCAGTCTTTTTTATTTGAGCTAGTGGTAACATTCTTTCTGAAAATTGAGTTCTTTATACTTTTTCTTGGCATATGATTTGTTGATTGTTGTAGAAAATGAAATCCTACATCACTAGGAAAGATAATTTGTATCATGTTAATTAACAGCTAGTTCTTCAGATTCATAAAATGTTATAAGCAAAATAACCCATGCCTGCATCACTAGCCAAGATAGATTAGAAGTTCAGGTTGCCTTCAGAATATATGTGATATTATTTAGAACATGTTTCTTGGGTCAATAGCCTGTACTGATGAACATTAGCAGGTACTTGTAGAATCTCTATTTGTAGTTAAGAAACCCTTCCTAGAAAAACTTGACCAGCTACTAGTTACAAGCTGTACAATTCTGCAGATAAATGGCCAGATATCAGGACCACTTGTATCCTCCATGAGTATTGGGATCACAACTCTCAGAATTCCCTATTAGCATGTCTGGTTATGAATTCTGGAAGTGGGTCAGGTTGGTGAAGACTGAAATAGCAGATCTGCAGTTTCTCCATAATTTAGTTTCCCAATTTCTTTCCTTACTCACCTATGAATTTCTGTTTAAGAAATTTAAGAAAAACTGGGTTATAGCAAATTTCCCATAATATATTTAATGTAAAAGCTTTTAGTACTAACTTGCATCATCATATCTTCTTTTCCCTTTGTCACATAGTGGGCATGCCAGCTCCTTCACAAAATACTGTAGCTGATCTCACTCAGCAGATTGGGCAAAAATAAAAGTACAGACTGTAGATGCTCTATGAATTTCCATCCCCCCCCACCTTCTCACCTACTGAATTAACTGCTAAACCATAGTGTTGCAGTTTCTTATTAAATTTTGAAACAAAAGGAATGTCATTATTTTTGGATGTGTAAAAACTTGGAGGAAAATGCATGCACAGACATTTCCTTGCTCCCAAATAAGCCAAAAGCCTATTAATTATATCATTGTCCACACATATAGTTGCCAAAAATGTGCTTGTCTCAAACCACATAGGGATTTAGAGGCTAAAATTGAGTTCTCAATTGTGGACAGAAACAAGTTTGGAGCCAGTGAACATATACCCATGCTAGTTGCAGTGACGTGCGGTGAAGATGAGGAGGTGGGAGGCAGCGGCGGTGGCTCCCCCGGGGCAGTGACAGAAGGGGCTCTGGACGCCTGCGCCATCTCCCGCCCATCTTCTGGGACTCGCCCAGCCTGGCGCATGGCACTTTAAAGTGCATGCTGCCGCTGCCCTGGCCATACAGCGGGCTGTATGGCCAGGCCCAGGGCGGCGGCATACATTTTAAAGTGCCAGCGCACCTCCCAGCCATAAACCAGGACATGTTTCGTTCTATGTTGCGGCGTGGCGGCATGGCTTTAAAAAATAAAAAATAAAAATATGCTAGCCCGCGTGCCAGCAGAGGCGGGTAAAACACACACACACACACACACACACACACACACACACACAAATTACTTATAATA